TGAGAAGACCACATGCCTTGGAGAAGCCATGAGTAGGCACCCCCTCACCACCATCACCATGGACAGTCGTCGCTTGCCTGCTGTGTGAGTGAGGAAGCCAGTCGGACCTCCACCTGAGCCCAGGCTTTCTCTGGCTCCAGCCCCAGCCGCCACTGGACCACACACACACGACAGCGAGCAGGAGCCCCACCCAGCCCACTCACCTCCCAGAACCACAAGAAAGAATGATACATTGTTGCTCGAAGCCACTAAATTTAGGCGTATCTGTGGCACAGCTGACTGGGATACTGTGTGTGGCCAGATTACCTAAGGATGGGACCTCAGCTGCAGAGATTCTCTGGTTTTTCCTCATTTGGGTTCTGACTATAACTCGGGTTGCTCATGCCAAGGTCTCTTGTTTGCACAGGGCTCGGTGGGAGGTGGCAGGGCTGGGCTGTGTGCGATGCACATGTGATCTAACTCGAGAGGCCCCGGAGGCTGGCAGGCCCAGCAGCGACGGAGCGTATTGATGTGTGAGCACTTGTCTCGGTGTTAGAGAACACGGCAGAGTCTGTTCTGCTTTATTATTACTTTTTAAATGTTTTTATGGATTTAGGGAGAGATGGAAACATGGATGAGAGAGACCATCGATTGGCTGCCTCCTACACTTCCCGCGCTGGGGCTAGAACCCACAGCCTGGGCCAGTGCCCTGACTGGGAATCAAACTGGTGACCTCCCAGGGCACGGGCCGACGCTCAGTCCACGGAGCCACACCGGCCGGGGAGTCTGTTCTTTTCAGTGGAAGGAGAGCTGTCGGAGCTGGAGGCCTGCTTTATTGATTACCTTTGCGTCTCCCCCAGCGGGCCCTTGCTGGGTGCATGGAGTTCCTCAGCACCGCTGAGCTAAACAGACTGGGTCTCCTTGACCATGATGAGCATGGAAGTCACCTGTGCTCTATATGGAACTTCATGGAGGGACCAGGGAATAGAGGTGGCCCTGATCCCGCTCTGAGAACTAGTGGTCTGGTGGGGGCCGTGAGGTTTCCTCCAGTGTGGAGAGTGAGGGACATAGTTTCATGCTCAGTGAGCCCCTGCCCCACGAGGTTAGGAAGGTGGTCCACCTTCCTACTGCCGCGACCCTTCAGTGCAGTTCCTCATGTTGTGGTGACCCCCAACCATAAAATTATTTTTGTTGCTACTTCATAACTGTAATTTTCTACAGTTATGTCTTAGGCGACCCCTGTGAAAAGGTCATTTGACCCCCAAAGGGGTCGCGACCCACAGGTTCAGAACTGCTACACTAGGACCCACGATACAGAGAATAGCTATGCCTCTTTCCCCTTTTGTATGTTTCTTCGTGCAACATCATCAAAGGAGCAGGGGTCTAGCCCGGGTGGGTAGGCTTCCTGGTACTGAGAAATCTTTCCAGAAGCCTCCAGTGCAGCCAGGCCAGGCTCCCTGGTACGACTGCTACTTCTCCCTGTCACTCCAGTGCCCAGGATGTGCCTGGGTCCCCCAGAGAGTACGGCTGCCATGGCCCCTGGCCTAGGGAGCACGCGTGTTGGCACAGCGGTGGCTGGCAGAACCCACGCAGTCAGTGTGCCCAAAGCAACACCAGCAGAGACAGCAGGATTAAATGGGGCTGCCAGCCCTTCTCAGTGAGACAGAGAGTAGGTGGGTCTGTTTAAAATATTCCCATTACAGTCAGTTAACCTTTATGTTCCCTAAATGAAAATTGTATAAACCTGAAATTTTCGTTGATCAGGTTGCCTAGGAACAGGCAGCAGGTTTTCATAAGACAATGCAATAGATTGTCACCGATAGAGCTATTAGAAAGTGAGCTGGTTAGCGGCATTATTCCGGATCCTGGTGTTACCGTTAGGTAATTATCTGTCTGCCTGCGCAGAGACCACCCCTCTTCCCAGCTCGGGCAGGCTTTTGCAAATGAGGTTTCTCAGCCCGCTTCTGAGTCCTGGGATCTGGAGTCCGGGAGCAAATTGTCACCCCTGGGTTTAGAGAAGAAATCTGATACACCCCATTCGGATGAATTTCTTTCTTTCTTATTTATTTATTACCATTTATTTTTTTTGCAGAATTTACTCCCAGGCCATGTGTTTTCATTTCCCAGTTTCTTCTGGGGCATCTTTTCCTTCCGTGCAACCCCCTCTCTGGTTTAGGAACAATCGGCTCTTTTTCAGGAGGATCATCTCAAAGTGGCAGGGAGAGCTCGTGTGGGGGTCAGTCCACCATGAGCGCTGTCAGTTCTGCGCTGCATGTCGGGAGCTTTGCTCACCTGCATGTGCTCAATGACACAGAATCTATGTCTAAACCCTGACGCTCTGCATTACTTTCTGCATTTTTCTGCATGTGCAGCAAAAATCCAGCGCTCTTTTTAGGCCGCTCACCCTGCGCCCAGCCTTACCCTTGGGCCTGGGCACACCTACCAGCTCCACCATTGTAATGACGGAAAGGCACACATGCTTCTGCAAAGTGACATCTTTCAGATGCTCGGCGACCTTTCGAATACGCACACCCTTGATGGCCTGGGCAGTCTCACGACTGTTCTTAAAGTAAACACGAAGATGTGAACTTCTTGATTTGCATGGTCTTGCATGGTTTTCTGGGTCAAGTGAATAGTGAACCATTTTCAGAGGTCACCTCAGGCCACGGCAGGAAGAAGTTATTTATTTATTTATTTATAAACCCGCCCCAGGCAGCGTGGTACTGCCCTTCGGCCCCAGTTACGCGCTAGCACGTGCTCTGGCCCTGCAGCCACACACACACCCGCGCGTGCCACGTGCAGACGCGGGGGGGCTCAAAGAATTTATTTACGTTTAGTCACCTTTTCGCTGCTACCCTCAGCAGTACTACTCAAGCTGAAAACTTGGGAAATAAACAATAACAAAATGCACAATGGAAATTACAGAGCAAAGTCACTCTAAGACAGCTTTGCTATGTCTTTTTCATATTTTTTCCCAATATGATGTATAACCTTGTTTATTTTCCACAAAAGCACCAGAATTCGCTGCCCTCGCTTGCCATGAGGGTGACCAGCCCGGTGTGCCCGGGACTGAGGCTGCCCAGAGCCGGTGCGTCGGGATTCATCGGCACGCTCTTCCGTTTCTGTGCAGCTCTCAGTCCGCTCGGGCGAACCGAACTTCCAGCCAACTCCCTGTTCTTGGACACCTAAGGGATAATGAATGCTTGTGGTGAATAGTCTCATGCCTGTGTCCTTGCAAGTCAAATTCCTACAAGCGGATCTGTTAGCTCAAAGGGGGTGTGTGTATGTGTGTGGCTTTTGATATTTTGTCATACTGTCCTCCAGGAAATCGGTGCCATTTCCACCCTCCTACCCATACTCTCGGGGACTCAACACCAAATAACTCTTCCTTCACGGCCGGTCTGATGGACGAAAGATACGTCTCATTGTGGGATGTGGCTTTTTCATTAGCCATTTGTGAATGGCTCGTTCGTGGCCTTTGCCCGTTCCTCTTTCGGGGATGCTCACCTCCTTCCTTTTAATCTATGAAAACTCTTTGTATTAAGCATATTAGTCATGAATGTGGAACCATTTTGTCCATTTTTTAAAAAGCGTGTGTGGTTATCATTCCTTAAAGAACAAGACTAATACCTGTTATCTGGTCTCTGAAGAAAGAGGAGTTAATATTCGAGGGAATTCGTTTCCCCCCAGCTTTAAGCACTCAAATATTCTTAAAAATAAAATATTCGGGGTGAGATCTCCAGGTGGACAATCCACGTAGGTCCTGTGAAGACGAAGTGTACAGCACACAGTTGAACGTTGTCTTCCTCTCTCGGACGTGCTGTGAACAACGGTGGTTTTCTGTGTGACAGCGATACCCTCAGCAGCTGTTGAGCCACAGAGTTGGGCTCCTAGACCATATGGCCCCAGACTGCTTTTTAAATCAGATACTCGGGTCCTGTCAGACCCTCATCACTGTCAGGCTGTCATGCAGCTGCTTCTGCTGCTGTGAGCACCCTGTCCCCCCACGGCACCCCAGCTTCACCAGCAGTGGGACTGACTACTGGCTACCAATGTCTGTTAAGTTTATCCGTGAAGAGCAAGTAACGGGGAGCACAGGCCCGAGGAGCCCTAGTGAAGCATTGTAGGAACTTCAGCTGGCAACACTTTGACTTATGTCCTGGGGTTTGCATTATTTATTGTTTATAGAGATAGTAGTAGAGATGGATGTAGATGTACGTTTCTAAATAAGTGACTTCTGGATGTGTAAGCAAAATAGGATTAGGACATTTCGGAGGCAGACAGGAAACAGAAATGATTATCAACCCCTTGAAGATGTAGGTGCAAAATGAGAAACCTGTAATCCAGATGAACAGAATCTGTATTTAGTCATTTTCTTCCCTTGTGGGTGTGCTGGGGACGGTTTTCGGGAGATGGTGGCATCGCTGACCTGGAAATGTTCACAGTCCGGCTTCCAGGCCTGCCCCTGCTGGGATATGGTTCACAGCCGGTTACCCAGGCCTTCTGGCGCTCAGTTTTCTCATCTGTGGAATGGAGCTCAGACTAACTGGCCTCTGTTTGGTAAGAGGTGGAATCCGACGCCCCCCAATGCCAGCAGTCACTGGCTTGAAGGAACCTGAGAGGTCTTTGTAAACATGTAAAGGGCCAACCAAGCATGCGGGGTTGTTACTGTTGCTGTTGTTACTGTTTGCAGGCGCTGCAAGCAGCCATGTCTGCCTCCTTACCTCTCCTGCCGGCCCCACAGTGTGAGCTCCCAGCCCACACACGTGTATCTTAAGCTTACGTCCTTGCCGCCCTTCCAAACCCAATCTCATCCTTGTAGGTTTTTCTGAAGCAGGATTTGCACAAATGGTGTGTTTTCTTAAATATTTATTTTGCAGGCCATTTACTTGGCAAGGCTATTTTTACAGTGAGTAAGGAGCAAGGCTAAAAATAGCCCAGCTTGTAACTAGATCAGTTTTGCACTTGACATTTACGTGGAATTCGTTTGCATCTCATTTGTTGGCCTTTCTGTTTAACAGGTAGAATGTAAGAAAGCTCAGCCGAAAGAAGTCATGTTCCCACCTGGGACAAGAGGCCGGGCCCGGGGACTGCCTTACACGATGGACGCATTCATGCTTGGCATGGGGATGCTGGGTGAGTCTGCGTGGGACCCGGGGGCCTAGCGGGGGCAGCATGGGCTGGGGGCTTTGGGTTACCTACCAGCTGGGCAAGCTGCTTTGCCTGTCTGGGCCTCAGTTTCCTCGTCTGTAGATGAGGATGATATCCCCCTTGCTAGACAGCTGTGACTATTAAATGAGCAGAGATGGAGAGATGGATGAAGGGAGGGAGGACTGAATGGATGATCACCTTGTCCCATTCCTGGCTTATAGGAGGTACTGGGCATTCTTTTCTTTCCTTCCGCGCCCTCCTTCAAAGGGGAGAAAAGCCCCTCCCTCCCTCTGCCCTGGCCCTCGCTCCTGACTGGGAGTTTTTAAAGACATAGGACTCCTGGCTGGCTGAACTGTGTGTGGGCCAAGCTACATCTGCAACTTGAAAGAGGGGGGAAGTGGTGAGGGTGGGCAATAATCCTGTCTATTTAAATGATTAACATTTTTCTCTTGGGATATCAAAATTTACATTTAAATGGATGTTTTAAATAGCCTGTTTTATTCTTTATTTGCAAAAGGGAAAAGAAAAAAAAAAAAGATGATGAAAGACAAGTGTGTTTGTCCTGACGAAAAATGATCTCTCCTGGCTTTTAGAGAAATTGAGTTGCATATTATGCCCCTTCCTTAAAGGTATCTCTGTCCGTCCTGCGTAGATAATTGAAAATCTTCCTGCTTAAATGGCATGAAAGATGGAGAAAGCAGGGTATAGCATAATGGTGTGGGTCACTGCAATAATTAGAAATTTCAAGGCGAGAGAACCGCGTTTTAGTGCGAGTTATTGTGTGTTGGGAAAATACTAATTAAATGGGATAAATGGTAGTTAATGGTGAAATCGCAGTCAGGGACATGAGCTGTGTAGTTGTAATGGTTTCATTCGGCTTGGCCGGGAGGCCCTCTTCTGCATTGTTAGATAAGCTCTTCATGTATTTTCAGATTTGCTGCTGTTCAAACCATTCCTGGCTTAGTTATAAATTTATAAAAACTTTCCTTGGTTTTATAAATTATTGAAAAGCATTTTTCTGAGGCAATAACAAGGGCAGGTAAAGTTATTTTTGAGGAATTTGAAATGGAGAGAGATGCCATGAGAATATTGAAAATGGCCGAGATGTTAATTCTTCTAAAAGTGGTGTTTTGGGTTTAACAGTTTCAAAGAAAAATCCTTTTGTAACTCTTTCAAAACTAGGCAAATGATTCTAGGACTCATCTGGAAGAAGAAACACTAAGAATAAATCAAAAAATGTTTTAAAAGGAGAAATGAGAAAAGACCAGTTTGACCGAGTATCCAAACATCACACAAAACTATAGTAATTAAAATAGTGTGGTATAGAGGAGAGAATTTAAAGAGGAGAAAAGTTAAAGAACCGGAATAAAATATATTTCTACCTAGGAGTGTAATTATTATAAGGTTATTTTTAGAAATCTTTGAGAAGTATTTCCTGCTTGACTGTAAGACACTTGTTGGGCCCTTATTTTGAACAGTCCTTTTTATTTGGTCTTGACCCTGTGTTGTACACCAGGAGAAACTGAATGGATTGGGTCTTTTAAAAACCCAAGGAGTTGAGCTCATCACCACCTGCTGGCTTTTGGAGTCTGTATATCGGCCTTAGGGCATAAAATGGGAGACTTTTTTAGGATCCAGATTCAGGAGCTGCCCCCATTTTTCTGAGTCTGACTCAGCGCCCTTACCTGCTCGAAGGAGGCACTGGGCTTGCTTCAGGGAGCAGCAGAGGTGGGGAGTCGACCAGTCACTCCTCTCAGCTGCCAGAGCAGAGGTACGAGCGGCTGTGTCCAGCGAGGCTTGGACCAGGACTCACAGACACCCAGGCTCGATCCTGAACGGAGGCGCCCAGGACCCCATGGTGGGAGCCACGGCAGGAGGTGCTTAGGAATGGCGTGGGTCTGCTGCACCTGCCGTGTGCCGGCCCTGGCTGCACTGGGAGACAGGCGTGGCTAGTGAGAGAGAGGAGCGTTAGCAGCCAGTCACAGGTGCATGATCTGTCAGAACAGAGAAGTCACAGGGTGCTTCCGGAGCAGAGAAAGAGGAAAGGAAACTGGTGTGAAGAATCAGGGACCAGCTCCCTGTGCAGGTGACATTTTAGCTGGAAGAATGAGTAAGCCGAGGGCCATCCAGACAGCAGGAACAGCCTTGGCTGGGTGGGGCAGGTCCAGGCAAGGCATGTGGGGGGGGCTGAGTGGCTCCTGGATTGGGGATGAGTCTGACCACGATGGTGATGGGCAGACCCGGACGCTCCCTGTGCTCCTCCAGACGCCGTTTGATTGGCTCCTGCTCGGGGCAGGGTGGTTCCCGTGAGAGTGGGTATGTGAGGGGCCTGCGCTTGCTCCTCCGCCCAGCACTCGTCCCCGTCCTCTCCAGCCTCAGTGAAGAAGTAACTGTTGGTTAGAAATGTGAGGAAGCCCTGGCCGGTTTGGCTCAGCGGCTAGAGTGTCCACCTGCAGACCGAAGGGTCTCGGGTTTAATTCCAGCCAAGGGCATGTATCTGGGTTGCAGGTTCGATCCCAGGCCCTGGTCAGGGTCATGCAGGAGGCAACCAGTTTATGTGTCTCTCCCACATCGATGTTTCCTTCTCTCTCTCTCTCTCTCTCTCTCTCTCTCTCTCTCTCTCTCTCTCTCTTCCTCCCTCCCTTCCAAAAAAAAAAATGGGAAAATACTCTTTGGTAAGAATTAACCAAAAATTAAAATAAAATAAAAATAATAATAAATGGAAAAATATCTCGGGTAAGGATTAACAACAACAACAACAACAAATGTGTGAAGAGTCTGTTAGCTCTTGAGTTATAACCTCCCCCGGCCCACGTCCATCAACTGCACCCCTGCTACTTGCCTACATGGAGACTGCCACCAGGCAGAACCCCAGAACTCAGCCATCTGAGGTCACAGAGGGCTCCCCCCAAAGCAAGCTGAGAGCCTTTGGGCAGAGTTGATGGCATTGACCCGGCTTCCACAGGGCTTTGTGGGCTCCTCACCTGTCAGCCGCGTGACTCGGGACCAGTGGCAGCCTCCCTGTCCTTGTCACCCCTCCCAGAGAGGCTGTGGGGACCCGCACGTCAAGGGGTTGTTGAGGACAAACGAGACCACACTTCACCAGCCAGTGCTGAATTCCGTCAAACCAGAGCTGCTGTGGCTCACAAACCACTCGGAGAAGAAATCAGATGCTGTCGATGAAACCGCACTGGTGTTTTCTTACCACATCGATGATGAGATGGATCCCACTTCCAAGAGATGTTAAGATGTGAAAAAACGTGTCTTCAGGCCAACAAAGTACAGTAGTTCTGACTGGGAGCTGCTGGGACTGGTACCCTGGGGCAGTGACCACTCGAGTGGGCACCTTCCCACCCGCGGCTGCAGGTGCAGCTTGTGCTGCAGCACCTCCGCCCCTGTCATGCCCCTGGCTCCGGGGCTTGGGTTATCTTTGTGTTTTTACCCCGCTCCAGGCCTCCGCAGCCCCGGCCCTCCTGAACTTTGTGCCACTGTGGTGAGGCCACCTAGACACCTGGTGCGATGGGTCCTCCGGAGAGGCACCGAAGTCGGGGCCGGAGGGGTGAGTCAGGCGCAGCACGCAGGGCAGACAGGCTCTCGGTCTGCTTGCCTGCTGCCTCCCTAGCCAGGCTGGAGTGCCGAAGGCTGCCCTCCCATTTCACCCACTGGTGCCCCTGGCAGCCGGGCGGGGCGAGGGGAGTGCCATCTGTGCTGTCCTGCAGCCCTTGCCCCGCCCTCTGCCGTGGCGGCTGGGGGGCCCTTCAGGAGGGTGGCATGCCCCGCGGTCACCTTGTCCTCCTCCGTGGGGTACGAGGCCTGCGTCAGTCCTGGGACGCCGCCTCCGCCAGGTTGGCCACTGACCTGGGCTCACGCAGAAGAACATTTTTAAAATGTATTAACACATGGAATGAGATGAGGTTTCAGTGACTTAAACATTTTTTTTTTGTTGCAAGAACAGAAAAAGCACTTCTAGGGCTTTTTAGAAGTGAAAGCATAAACCAGCGAAGTTTTGAAATCCATTCATTCAAAAATATTTACTGAGGGCCTGCCAAGTGCTGAGCCCTGTCCTAGACGCTGAGACAGCACAGAGAACGACGCTTCTACCCGGGGAGCTGACACCGCTGAGACGGCAGCCACACTGGTGTCAGTGACCAGGAAACTGCGGGACTGACTTCTGAATGTCCCTAAGGTTCTCCATCCTTGGGGAGGTCTCATCACAGGGAGGCTGATGAACATAGAGTTCCACAGTTATTCTTTCTCGATCTCTCCTGATATGGCTGCAGACACCCTTGGGGGGAACCTACAGCTGTTTTGGTTTTAGCTTTCACAGCCTTTGACAGAATCATGGAATAATCGGCCCAGTGGGAATTCCTTGAAAAGGATGTAGGAGAGAAGAGGAGGGGCCACGTCTCCCTGCCTTTGAGCAGACAAGACGCAGATCAAGCGAAAGGCCCTTGTGTGGCTCAGACTGTTCACTGCAGCAGCAGAGAGGAGCCCGCAGCTCCCGGCTCAGTGCACTGGACGCCTTCGGTTTTCCTTCACGAAAGGACTTAATAGAAGGAAACGTGATTATTGTTGATTCATTTGACTCCTCTTGGCCACCCAGTCCCACTGCCTTGCCCTCGCTTGCCCTCGCGGCACATGCTATTGAACAGGTTTGACACCGGTGCTGGAGGAATTCCTCGAGCTGAGGCCTTGCAAAGCGTCACCCTGCAGGCCCGGAAGTGGCGTGGAGATGCAGGGACGGACCAGATGCAGAGACCAGAGGCGTCCTCTGCCCTGGCCTGCTGAAGCCCCGTGAAACCCTGGCCCTGCGTTTCCTGACATGAAGGGACCAGAGCTGGGACCTGGTGCTCACTCAACCAAGTGGAGACGGGCTGGAACCCGCAGCAGGACGGGGCCTGTGGTTTCCCCTGGGAGTCGTCTTTCCCTAAATAACTGCGGAGGCCGTGGCCAAGGTCTCCATTCGCTCGGCTGTCTCCGCAAGCAGAGGGAGCTCAGCCCTCGACTCTGTCTGAGCCGCGTGTTGCTGCCGAGCACGGAAGACATGGCTCGCACGTCCGAAGAAACTGGAGTTCTGGAGGGGCCCGTGATTCTGGGGCCGGGCATCTTTGTAGGCGTTTGCCTGGGAACAGTTCTTGGCATTTGGTGTTGTGTTGTGTACAGACCTCGTGGCCCGGGGCCCGGGAGTGCTCTGTACCCCGCAGCGGAGCTCACGCTGCCACGGGCCCCGGTCTCTTGTCTCTTTCAAGCCAGGGGCCAGTGGGAGCAGCCGTCCTGCCTCTGCGGAGCTGCGTGGCGGACCCCGGGAGGATCAGCCACGTGCCGGTCTGGAGGGCGGGCTCTCCCAGGGCTGGAGCAGAGGTCTAGAACCACACCTCTGAGAACTCTGCCGTCATCCCCCAACGGGGGTGCGAAAATGAGCTGACTGGCGAATTCCAATTCTATTGTAGATTTCGGATTTATTTCCCCACGATGGAGAGCCTGTCTGTAAGGACAGTGGCCATCCAGGCAGAAGGCCTGGTTTTTTCTTTAATGACAAGAGATAATTGCTGTGGGGTTGACCAGGCGTCCAGAGTACTGGAGCAAATAAATTGGGCAGCAGCCGGTGTGGGAGGGGCCGACTGCTAATGGAAGTGGCAGCTGGGTCATCTGACCGTGATGTGGCCTGATGGGACCTCCGCGTGGGCCTGCCGTGATGGGCGATCGCTCTGCAGCCCGGGGCCGGGCGCCGCGGGGGCAGAGCTGGGCTGCACAGCAGTGAATGAAGAGGAAAATTGAAGTGATGTTGTATTATAGATTTATGATTTCATCTGCCTGACCCAAAGGATGCTCAGCGATGGGGGCTGAGATAAGATCCCCACTCTGGCAGCTGCCGGTTCTCACCTTCGTTGTTCAGGAGACAAAATTGACATCTCCGGGAAGATGGGGGTAAAGCCCCAGACTGGTGTGAACTTGACCATGCCTTTCTTCCTTCTTGTTGAAGACTTCCGCGTGTGCCAGGAAGAGAGCAGACATAGGGACTCGTCCTGGTGGCCGGAAGCAGGGAGGGACTGGCAGTCCGCCCCCCGCACCCCCACCCACCCGAGGGAGCCTCGCAGGTGACATAGGGGTTCCCACTTTGGCTGTCAGAATAACACTAAAATGTGTGAGAGCCCAGTGCTGCAGTTAGCGTGAAGGAGTCCGTCTTCGTGAGGAAGGCCCCGGGCAGCAGAGACCAGGCCGCTTGCACACAGTCCGTTTATCGGTGGTGTTGGAGTGATGGTACGAGAAGGCTGGTGCTGAGAGATCTGGCTTGGTCGCAGGTGATCACTTCCGAGGAGAACTGAGCTGGCCAGCCACAGAGCATTCCAGGGAAGCAGCCAGGGTTGTGTCCACGGCCGGCACCCACGCCTTGCTTTCTGTCCCTCCTCTCTGTCCCTCTGTCCTCTCCTTTCCCCGTCGGGGCCAGAGCTCCACATCTCCCTCGGGTCCTGCTCCTCAGCCACCGGTGCAAAGCCACCATGTCGTCCTGTCTGGTCGGGCAGCCTTCTGCCCACAGCACACCAGGAGCTGGGAGATACACAGGGAAGGAGCAGGTGGCAAGACCGTTCGAGGTCGGAACAGGTCAGCGGGCCGGCGAGTGTGACTGCGGATTCGGAAGGGCTCTGCTGAGACACGGAAAGGAGCTGCAGCTGGTGTCAGCTGAGAATTGGGCCCGGCATTGCTCCAGAGCTTTCTGCAGAGGGCCATTCAAGCTCCCAGAGAGAAGAGAGGACACCCCCACCCTCACCCCCGAGGGTCAAGGTCTTGGGCCAGAGGTGGCACTGGAACCAGGCCCCTGGATGTCCAGCCCAGCAAGCTTCTGTCCTGGGCCGATGACAGAGCCACGGTCAGAGCGGAAGCCTGACACCGAACACAGGGAGGTGAGGGCGGGCCCTGGGTCTGCACCCCTGAAGCCCAACAGCTCTGTGAGCAGGCTGCAGGGCCAGCAGACGACTCGTGGCGCCAGGAGGCGGCATTTAGTGAGTGATCCCGTTCCTCTCGTCCTCGCCTGCAGGGTCAGAGAAACGGTAACGTGTGAGAGTCCCACTGGAAGGGGGGCGAGGAGCCCGAGGAGCCTGTGTCTAGGGCTGTCTAGGGGGCTGTGTGGAACTGCAGACACGTGGGAAGCTGTCGCCCTTGTGGCTGGAGGGCATGGTGACTGTCCAGCCCAGACCCGCTTTATCCCAGAGCAGAAACTCTGGCCGCAGAAGCAGCGAGGGAGGCTGCTGGAGGGGCTTGGGCAGCACACAGACCTGCCAGGACGGCTGGAGAGCAGGCCGGAGCCGGGCGCGCAGCGGAAGAGCCACGGGACAGCCCAGAGTGACCTGTCGGGCTGCCACCACTGGACGCTGGTTGTGCTCCTAACCCCAGAACACATTCTGAACTGCTCCCTCTGCCGCAGCAGCCCAAGGCGGGTCCTGGGAAGGCTTCTGCTGGCCGAGCCCAGGGCCCCCCCTGCCCAGCTGAGAGGTGCTTCCATGACGGAGGCAGGCCTCTCCCGGGCCCCCAGAGGGTGCAGGGCAGCCAGGCACAACCACAGACAGCCGTCCGAGAGGGCGAAGCCCAGGCCAGGCTGGGCGGGTGCAGGGTGGTAGGGCAGTGGCGAGGACCCCACACGCAAGGGGACCACGTGAGCCTGGCGGTGGGGACGGGCAGCCGCGGGCCTCCGATGGCCGGTGGGAGTTCAGTCCGGGAAGCCTCCACCAGCCTCCTCGTGTCCTGAATCACAGTGGCCTGAAGAGCGCAGTTTCCTGCAGCACGACAGCAGGTTGAGAGCTGACGTGGCATGTCTCTGGCAGTCTCAGAGCAGACCGGAGACGGCCACTACCCCAGAGCTGTCCTCTGTGCCCATGCCCGGCCAGCATGCAGCCCTCCGTTAACCCGTTGCCCGCTACCTGCTGAGGCAGGTGTCTGCAAGAGATGGTTGCTGGGAGATGCCGGTCGAAACTCGTGACACAAGGCTCCCTGGTTTGGGCCACGTTTTGTGTGCACATTTGAACACAGCCAGCCCCTCACCATTCTCGGAAATGTCGGGTGCCCTGGGTGTGTCTGCTTGCACGTGGGCCCCTGAGACCTGCCTCCTCTGGGCCATGGCCCATTAGGCCCGAGAGGCACAGGATCAGCCTGCGTTTCATCACTAAACTGTGGGCCCCAAGAACTCCGGCTCTGGCCACCGCCTTGGGAGGAGGCGTTAGGAGGACTTTAATCTCCCACTGTCAATAGCTTTAAGGTAAAGTACATTCAGGGTAAGCTCTCCAAATGTCAGAGCCAGGCACGGGCCCTGTGTCTGGTGCTAATACATGGCATTTGCTCTGCAAGTCGAGAAAGTGCATGGGCTTTGGGAGTCTGCCCAGACACGGGTTAGCTCCCAGCAGGCTGACAGCAGCGCCCCCACCGCAGAAGAGAGGTGACCCAGGCCCAGGGTAGAGACCCTCAGACGAGACAGATCATTTTGTGGAGAATGACTCGGGCTGTTTCTCCTGCCCCCCCGCCCCCGTACCCCCTCCACTGACCTGAAGCATCTGTGCTAACAGGACTTGCTGTCTCTCTCTGTTCAAGGCTACCCCAACTTTGTGGCAACCTATGGCCGCGGCTACCCCGGATTTGCTCCTAGCTATGGCTATCAGTTCCCAGGTGAGTGTCTGTCTTCGGGGTCTTTGGAAACCTGGGCTGTGAGCTGCATTTGGGGGGAGGGGGGCCCTAAAGAAAACACAACTTATACATCCATTCAAGAAGCGACCTGTGGTGCTAACTTCACACCCACTCCCCTCCGGGGCCAGGGCAGCTCAGCCTGTGGCTCACCGAGTGTTCGCTGGTCTGAGAGTGGCCATGTTTGGGGGAGCGGGGGGCTGAGGCCGGCACCCTTCCCGGGCTCAACCTCCCCCTTCGGGAGCCTGTCGGGGGTGGTCCTCTCACCGGAGACTGAGCTCTCAGGCCAGGGTTTTCTCTCACCCTTTCTGCCCTGCCCGCTGTCTCCTGTCTCCCACCTGCCCTCCTCCAGCTCCGCCCTGACGCCTTCCGTGCCCTCTGGTGTGTGTTGGGTGTGCTGTGGGGGTTTGGGTTTGCTGTCCGTTTTAGGTGGGGTGTTCAGACTCTCCCCCACTTTGTGTGGATGTCAGCGACATGCCCAGGCCACTGCAGCTCCCATGGAGCTCGAGGCCTGGGCCCGGCCGAGGTGGGCAGCAGGGGAGGCGTGGTCCTGAGGGTGGGGGAGGGGCGCTAAGGGAAGCAAGATGTTCTGGGATTTGGCTTTTCCCCTGAGGGGACCAGCCAGCCCTTCCCAGACCTGGAGTACAGGCGACAGTATGTTGAGGAGCTTGGAGCGTCTGTGTGAAGAACAGCTGGGCTTTCTAGAGAGGCACTGGGAAAGAGTTTTGTCCTCTTGGGTTCTGTCCCGGGGGAGGAGGCTCCATGGGGAGCTGGGCTTCAGGCGGACTTGCACTCCTGGGTGGTCATCCAGCCTAGACCAGAGGCCTGGGGTCTCAGGCCTGAGACGCAGGGGGGCCAAGACGCGGCCCCAAGAGGACAGTGTTCTGAAGCCAGCGAGGAGGGCAGTGGGAGGGGCGTGTGCGGGGCTCGGCCCAGCATTTGACTCAGACTGAGCTTTGGGGTGGGGAAGGGTATGTGGGGGGCAGGTCTGGAGGCACTTGGGACACTTAGAGCCGCGCCTCATGGGAGACAGATCCCTCGGCCAGCGCCGGAGCCCCAGGCTGCCCAGAGCCACGGGCAGGCCACTGCGCCTCTGGACCTCACCCCGCCTTCCGCGAAGGGCTTTGTGCAGAGTGGGCGCGAGGTCCGCACGGCTTCCTGGCTGGAGGGAGAGGAGGTGCAGGAGCAGACGCTCCAAGGGAGGAGCAGGGGGCTCTCCCATGGGGTGTCCCCTTCCCTGGGGCTGGGCAGTTTCCACATCAGGGTGAGGCCCTCGGGAAGCCCTCCCCACTGCTTCTCTGTGGTCAGGGGCTGGGGCCTCTCAGCAGGACCACAGGGGCCACCGCCAGGCTGCTCTGCGGTTCACTCACCTGAGGCTCCGTAAGATTTCCCCGTTTACAGGCGGGGTGCCGAGGCCCAGGGTAGAGAACCCTGTTCCAGGGGCAGCGCCAGGATGTGGGCCCAGGTGGCAGGGGCCTCACGTACCACCTTCCACTCTCTCTCTAGCATCCCCCTGACCAGTATGACTACACCAGCCACTTGTAGCTACTAAAATTTAGATTTAAATTAATTAAAATTAAGTAAAATGAAGTTTTCGGTTAGTTAGCCACACGTGGTTAGTGGCTACCATCAGCACAGAATATAGAACGTTCCATCATGACAGAAAGCTGTTGGACACGCTGTTCCGGATCATAAAGGAAGAGTGTGTTATGGTGGAGTTCTTGGTCCACACATACACGTGGGCACCGTCCTCCCCAGGGAGACCCAGAGTGCCACCATCCCTGTTCTCCAGCCCTTCCCTGTGCTGCTCAGCCCAGAAGCAGGTGATGGTTTGAGGGAAGCCCTCGTCTCCTGGCTCCCTTCCCAGAGGACGAGAAGGCACAGGCTCACACACCCTGGCTCTATGAGAGCATGCTGTGCGCCGGGTGCAGCTGCCTCCCTTCACAACCAGGCTGCCATTGCCCCCTTGGTGCAGCACTAGTCCCAGGAGAACAGAGTTGGGGGATCCTGACATGGCGTAACTTGGGGGTGCCAGAGTGGGCCCCATGCTAAGGCCCATCGAGAGCCTGCCCCTGGAGCAGCCTGAGGCAACCCAAGACTTGTCTGGTAGAACTCTTGTCCAAGGGGCCTGCACCCTCAGGTCTGTCCTAAACAGACAGAGATGCACAAGCAACCAGCTGAGGCTGGTGGAGTGAGACGGGCTCCCCCAGGTCCCCGTCCTGTAAGCCATGGCTTTGGGAACGGAGCAGGCGGTGGTAAAGGGCGTGGAATGGGCGTGGAGTGACGGTGTCCACGGCCCACCTGTTTATCACCAGGTGAATAGCTTAACACAATGACATGGGTTTGACCGAGACAGGAATCAGGCATTAAAGCATCCAGACAGGCTCACTGACCCGTGGGACTTGGCTGTTCTGTTCTTTCTCAGCCATCAGACCCTCCATTTTTCCATCCCACTTACACCCTCGAAGGCTCTCATGTGTCCTCACTGATGGCCATGAGTGGCCCCAAGAGGGAAGCACCTGTCCTCAGGGTCGGGGTGTGGCGTGGCCCTGGGCCAGAGGGGGTTGCCCAGTGGCTGACCCCTGGAGGAGCCACTTACGGAGTGGAGCTCTGTCCGTCTGTTCCCAAGGCCCCCTCCCCCAGCAGCCTGGGGTTCTAGACCACACACCTGGAAGTCCCCGGGACTTCCCAGCAAGGCCTCACAAGCGGCGTCTCCCTCGGGAACCAGGCTTGACCCCTCCTGGAGCCCAGGCTGCAGGGCCAGGGCTGGGCCAGGGAAGCTCTGCAGTGTTCTGACATCGTCTCTGGTCTCGTGCAATAAGGAACATTCTAGTAGATCTGGTCGAGAGGCCTGGGGTGCAGAGGGCGACCCCGAGGAGAGGCAGCCCGCCTCCCTGCCCTCTCCCCGCCCCATCAGGTGGGCTCTGCGGACCCCTCCTCCCTGTGCCATGGGATCCTGTGTCGGAGACATGGGCACAGCTGCCCCATCACCACCACACATCCCGATGTTTTCCCTTCGTGGTCCTTCTTGTCCCTGTCCCCACTGTGTGCCCACTTCCCCCTTCCCCCCTCGTCTCTCCTGCGGTGTGCGTGGGTCCTGCACCCTCCCAGCCCCTCTTTGACTCCATCCTGACCATCCGAGAGAGCTCGCTGACCAACGAAGGACACCGGTCCCGGAGGGTGCTGAGGGTCTCTGTCCTGTGCTTCACTCCGGTCTTTCGGGCACGTAGTCTAACCCTCACCGGGGCCTCCTTTCTGCCAGCTCCCATCACCAGCTTGGGTGTCCGATGCCCCTCTCGGCAGAGCCCGCTTCACCTGTGGGCCCTTCCGGGGCGCACAGTGGGTGCTAAGTAATGCCCACCTCTGCCCACCTTTGGGGTCTGAAAAGAAGGGAAATGCTCCGTGAAGAGGGCGAGATGCCTGTCGGTAGTTATTGGAGTGGGGAGCAGTTCTTTTGTGGGAAGACTAGGGGGTGATGACCACCCACTGTGGAAATGGCTCCTTCCTCCCGGGGCCCAGGCATCCCGTGTGCGCCCCGTCCCCCAGTTCCACAGATCAGTGCGTGGGCTCGATCGTTACGATCCTGCCCAGTGGCTCCCCGTTTTCTCTCTTTCCCCTCCAGGCTCAGTTTAATCTGTTAACTTCTGTTCTCATTTCACTTTGCAGACTATTTGCCGATTTCACAAGACATAATTTTTATCAACTAGCTCTTAAGAGAGGCATAACAAATTGGGGTTTGCTACCAGTGCTAGAGAGAGGAACAGTCCCGGCCGGGGCGCCCACTGCTGTCAGAGGCCACTGAGCTGTCCTGGCTGCCTGTTTGCACGAATGTCCTCTCACTCACTTTCACTTCGTGGAAGAGACTCATGTCCTCATTGCTTCACACCGTTTTTAAGTAATTTTATTCTCCAGTCCCTTCCCATTTTGTTTCCTGTGCCCACTGTGAACATCCCCCACCTGCGTCCTCCCCCGGAATGTGATGGGGCCGAGGGAAACTTCTCACAAACTCTGCAGAGCCTCCTCGGGGGTCCCGGGAGAAGGCCAGACCGGCTCACTGGGCATTCCGTGGCGTGGGCTTGGGCGTGCTGGTGGGCCGCGGGTGGGACAGGTGGCTTGGAGCACCTCCGTCCCAGGGTGGACACGCCAACGTGAACACACACAGAGTTCCATAATACCAACATGAGACACTTAATCTGGAAGACACTAGATCAGCGCGATCGGGTGTCTGCCTTTGGGGCCAGTTCCTCAGTGGCCGCTGCCATAAGAAGAAGCAACCCGTCTTCCAGAGGCAGCGGGGTTGCCTGGCTGCCGCCACGCTCAGGACTGGGCACCGACCCGCACCTCCTTCCACACCTGCCTCAGCCCGGCCCTGCCGGCCTTGCATTCCCTGCGGGGAAGAACCCAGAGGGTCCATCTTTCTCGGCTTGGCACCCCTGATGGTCACCCCCAAAAGGGCTTTCTTTTCCCATGCTCCGGACCCCCGTTCCCCATTTGAAAACCCCCACTCTCTTGGGTTAATCAGGTACAGCTCAGTTGGACCCTCAGGAGTCACCCCTTGGTCACACTCTGGTTTGTGAGAAGTGACCGTGTGTGCCATCGGTGCTTTGGGTGTGAGCAAACCCCCGTGAGCGCCGTGGCCTCGAGGCAGCCCGTGCGGGTTTGCCCACCCCACCGCAGATGCGTCATGCAATGATCCCTTAGTTTTCTTTTATTTTCCCACAGGCTTTTTCATAAGTGCTCTTTTTTTTTTTTTTTTTTAATCTGTATGGCTTTTTGTTCCTTTTTATTTTGTTCTGCTATGGATTGCTTTGCTGCTTTGGTCCTAGAATGCTTGCCTCCCCAACATTTTGGCCATTGTGAATTTTCTCCATCTCTGTAAATAGCTCATCTGTGCTGCTCCCTAATGACATTTTATCCCCACTCCCGCCCCCCTGTAAGCAACTGAGGTAGAAAAATAAATGGTTTACCACGGACATGCTGTGTGC